GGCCGTAGACAGGCAGAGGAGGAGGCGGTGGCGACCGAGGAAGCACCGGCAGGCGGTCAGGAGAAGGAAGGCTGAGGAGGCGAAGAGCGGACATCGGCAACGACTGCTGCCCGACGCCAACACCAGAACCTCCAGCAGGACCACGGCTCCCTCCGTGAAGCACCACGCCAGCACCCCCAGAATGGGAACCCGCTGCACTACCTGCTCCAGCACGCTCCCCACCACCCCCAGAACGCACAAACCCCAGCGGCGGTAACGACGGCGGCTGCGGCTGCGGCGGCGACGGCAGCTGCGGAGGCGGTTGCGGCTGTGACAGCAACGGCGGCGACAACGGAGGAGAGACCGGGGTAGGGACAGGCGGGGGAAGGGACTCCGCCGAGCCGCGAGAGTCAGCAGACCCCTCGGCAGGGACAACCGACGGGAGGGGGGTTACGTGAGACACACGAGACAGGGCCGGGCGGGGAGTGGGGGGAGCAAGTGCGACCGGGGGAGGGGGGGGAACCAGGACCTGGGGGGGAGTGACCGGGGGACTACGGTGGGGAAAGCGGTGGTAGAAGGAGACGGACTCGTCAAAAGTGATGTCGCGAGAGTGAAAGAAACAGTGAGACGGCGGGTGGTAGAAGAGCCAATCAGACGAGTCGAAGGGAAAACCTAGAAAGAAACAAGGGACGGTGCGGGCAGTGAGCTTGCCCGTGCCAGAGGCACGAATGTGAGCAAGGCAGCCCCAGACGTGGAACGCAGACGTGGCACCAGGAGACCCGGTCCAGAGGAGGGTCGGCGAAACCTGCGGCCGCTGAGGGTGCGGCCACAGGTTAAGCTGGTGGGCGGCGTAGCGAACGGCGAACGGCCACAGAGCCACCTCCATGACCAAACCGATGCATCGCTCAGCGACCCCATTTTGCTGCGGGGAGTCCGGCAAGGTGTACGTCTAGGTGATGCCCTCCGCACGACTGAAGCGACCAAGGCAGCCAAAGGCGAACTCGCCACCACGGTCGGAGTGAAGACGCAACACAGGGAGACCTCGGTGCACGCGCGCAGAGACAAGCCACGGGATAAGAACGTCAGGCACGTCAGCCTTCCGCTTTAGAGGAAACAAGGTGGTATAGCTTGTGTAGTCGTCGACAAGCACTAGGAAATAGCGCTCACGATGCCCATGAACGGGGGCGTGGCTCTAGACGTCCATGTGCAGGGTTTGTAACAGTGCGGTGATGGGGGGGAACGAGGAGGAGTTAGGGGCATGGCTGAGTTGGCCCTCGATGCAGGGGGTGCACGGAGACGCTGCAGAGGAGGGGAACGCAGGGAAAGACGCAGGGAGACCTAAGACAAGACCGTGCTGAGACATGTGACAGAGACGTGTGAGGAAAAGGCGACCTAGGCGGTGGTGCCACAAAAGCGACGGGTGAGTAAGCGATCAACACGAGCAAGCCGCAGCAACCTGGGTAGACGCTGCCACCTGGGGGGTCGTCCCAACTGGGGGGGACGCGGTGTCCAGCGTGAACAGGCCAGACACCGGGTCTCGGGGGAACGTGGTGAGGGCAGCACCAGTGGCGGCCTCGATACAGACAGCGTACCTCTCATGACCAGGGAACGGCAACCGACACCAACTAGATTCCGAGAGAACAAGGGGATGTGCAGGCCTGTAAGAGAGCCCGAAGGAACTGCCGGTCAGGTGAGAGTGGTGGAACTACGGGCGATTACCGGATCTCAGGAAGGGTCTACAAGGGTAACTGCGACTTGGATGGCAAGCGGTGTAAGCGTAGTGTGGTCTCGAAATAAATACCGAGACGCTCCAGAGTCGAAAGAGAAGGAGAGCACGGCAGTGGCGGCTGGGGGTGGAGGAGCTAGGGTGGAGCCAAGGCTAAACAAAGCAAAGGGTCGTACGCCTGACGCAGCAGGGGAGCCTAAACTAGGCACACTGGACACACCTACACTAGGCAACACGGGGTAATAGGAACCAGTCACACTAGAGTCATCGACATACAGCACATACAATGCAGAGCTAATCTCATCCATGCCCATATCAAAGATCCCAACACCACGGCGGAGCAGACTATGCCAGTCGGGGAGGTCCGGCGCGGGGTAGAAGTGGAGACGAAATAGGTCGTCCAGGCGACAGAAACAGCGAGTGGGGGTATGACCGGTCTTACCGCACACGAGGTTGCGGCGAGGACCGGTCTGGAGCCGGTACTGGCAGCGCCCGTCACTCGCTCCACCACCCGACGACGAGCTACGCGCACGACCACCGCGACCACCACCACCACCACCACCACCAGGCCACCCAGGCGGGAGACGACCGACCCTCCGCTGCGATTGCTGCTGCTGCTGCTGGTCAAGCTTTGGTGCCTATTGCTGCTCCCGCTAAAGCTGCTGGTCTGAGGCACCAGCCCCAGCCCCCTCGTCGGTACTACCGCCAGCGGATGAACCATCGTCACCACCACCTCCACTCCCTCCTCCACTACCCCCGCCGCGCCCAGCCTTGGAGAGGCGGGCCTTACCAGAACGAGACTGCGCTGCGGCCACCGCGACAGCGGTCTCAGCAGCAGGGGCTGTCTCAGCTACAGCCGCAGAACCGTCAGAGTAAGTGCAATGGGCGGGAGCACAACCCTGGAAGATTGGCCCAGCTACACACGAAGCTGGGCCTCAGTGCAGGCACCGCGCCAGCTAGCGTCGAGCGTGCACAGGTGCGAGGCCAGGTCAACGACAGTGAGGAAAGACGCGAGATCAGGAAAGAGTATAGGCAGGATCAGGCGACCAACAGAGGCAGAGGGCGCGGTGGAATAGCGCGCGACAATAGCCTCTAGGAACAACTGCGCAGTCTTGATCGACTTAAGCGGGGGCGCTCAGACAGGGGGAGGGCATGGCTAATCGTGAGCTGAGCGACAGCGTCACGCGGCAACCAGACAGCCCGGGCAAGGGCAGCAGCGGCGGCGGACTCACGGTCAGCAGACGTGGGGTCAGCGGGGAGAGCAATAGGGGGGTCAGGGCAAGGGAGCGTACCGTCAATGTGGACGGCCAGGGAGTGGCCGCCCTGCCGCTGACCAGTGAGGTGACGGCGGAGGTCAACGAGCCATGAGTCGAACTCAACCGGCTGACCCTCCGCGTCAAAGCGCAGCACCGAGTCTGTCATGAAGGACGCTGCGACAGCGAACAGGCGGTGAAGGGCGGGACAGAGCGATGAGGAGCAGTGGGGAGGAGTTCTGTACGGTGCCTTGCAGTGGAGTGCGGTGGGGCGCCGTGCAGTGCGGTGCCACACGGTGCAGAGCGATGCAGTGTGGTGGGGCGCGGTATAGTGCGGTGGGGCACGGTATAGTGCGGTGCAGTGACGTGGGGCGCGGTGCAGTGCGGTGCTGAGTGGTGCAGCACGGTGGGGCGCGGTGCATGACGGTGGAGAGGGCCGGTGAAGCGGGCGGGGATAGGGAAACACAGCGGCGGAGCAGCTAGGAGAGGGGGCCGCGGGGCGGCTGGGCGACGGGGCTGCGGAGTAGCGTGGCAACGGGTCGTGGGGCGGCTGGGCGACGTGGCCGCGAAGCAGCTGGGCGACGAGGCCGCAGGGCGGCTGGACGTCGGGGCCACGGAGCAGCGGGGCGACGGGGCCGCGGTGCGGCTGGGCGACGGGGCCGCGGAGGAGCGGGGCGACGGGGCCACGGGGTGGCTAGACGATGAGGCCGCGAAGCGGCTAGGCAACGGGGCCACGGGGCGGCTAGGCAACGGGGCGGCTACGCGACGGGGCGGCTAGGCGACGGGACGGCTAGGCGACGGGGCGGCAGGGCGGCTACACTAGGGGCAACGCGGCCGCGGGGCCAGCAAGGTGGCTAGGCGCTGGGTGACCGTGCGACGGGGCCATGGGCGGCTAGGCGCTAGGTGACGGGGCCGCGGGGCCAGCGGGACGGCTAGGCGCTAGGTGGCGGGGCAACGGGGCCACGGGCGGCTAGGCGCTAGGTGATGGGGCCGCGGTGCCAGCGAGGCGGCTAGGCGCTGGGTGACGGGGCCACGGGGCCACGGGCAGCTAGGCTCTAGGTGACAGGGCCGCGGGGCCAGCGGGGCAGCTAGGCGCAAGGTGGCGGGGCAACGGGGCCACGGGCGACTAGGCGCTAGGGAACGGGGCCGCGGGGCCAGCAAGTCAATGGGGCAGCGGGGCCCTTGGGGCGGCTAGGCGCTAGGCGACGGGGCAGGCTAGGACCTAAGGCGGAAGCGCGGGTGGGCGGGGGGGGACCTAACCTACTCATGATACCATCTCAGAGTTAGAAGTATTGAATAGAATGAGAGTATACAGGGGTATATAGCTAGTGGGTTGTACTCTCTATGGCAAGTCCCTATCTAGTCTTCTCAACATGCACAAATATGATTGACAAAAACCACCATGTACCCTGTTTTCTAGTCTCATTCTGCTACGCTAAGATGTACCACGTCCTAAGCCAGAACGGTCAACAAGGGTCGTGTGCTGTGTGTGGTACTTCAGTAAATATCCCCCAGTTCCACAACCCGAGTTGCGCAATTCTCGCCAAAACACATTGGTAAAGCCATTCAAAAGAGTGGTTGAGTGGATGAACCGTTGCGAGTTGCGCTACTCAGCCAAGTTGCACAACCCATTTTTTTGCAGAAGTACCACGCACTTAGGCGTAGTGGCCCTGGGCTGGGTTGCACTTCGAAAGTCCCAAAATGTATGAGCGCATGTTCCAAGTTTCTTTCCGATCCATCGTCTGTTGTATCGGGGGCAGGGGTGGCGTACGCTCCTGTCGTATGCATTGGCCAGGGGTGGCGTACGCTCGTCAACTGTTTCCTGTCGTTTTGGTGCGCGATTTTTTTTTTTTTCTCTCGCTTTGGGGAATTGGGTTACTAGAAGGGGGGTTCAATATTAATAAACTTGAAACAAAATTTGTGCAATTTGGGTCAACGGCTTTTCACTAAATACACAACACATAAGCCTAGAAGGTACTCGATCAAATTAGCCTGGTGACTAGTGTCCTAACACTTACACACCCCCACGTAAGCTAGAGTGTTTTCTAAGAAGCCGAAGACATATTTCACGTCGGCTGCTTTGAAAGCGCTCTAGCGATTACTCTCCCAATCACAGGCACAGTCGCGCACCAGGCATCTGCATGCCCTTTACCAACTGAAAGTGTGCACTGCCGCTGAGCAGAGACGAATCAGTGATTCGCGCCTGTCTTTGTCAGCAGCTCGTCGTGGGTGCCGTGCTCCACCACCCGCTCTTTCTGCATCACCACAATGCAGTCCGCCGCGCGCACGGTGGAGAGGCGGTGCGCGACAACCACGGTGGTGCGGCCCACCATGACCTTTTCCAACGCCACCTGCACCACCTTCTTGCTCTCCACGTCCAGCGCTGACGTGGCCTTGTCCAATAGCAGCACGCGCGGGTCCTTGCGCACCGCGCGGGCGATCGCGACCCGCTGCTTCTGCCCGCCACTCAGCTGTGTGCTGCGCTCCCCCACTAGAGTATCATACCCATGGGGAAGGGAGGAGATGAAGCCATGTGCATTGGCGGCCTTAGCAGCCTCAACTATCTCCATCTCAGTCACTGCCTCTAGCTCCTCCTCTTCCTCTCCCCCATCAGCACCATCCCCCGCACTCTCCCTACTCAGCCTGACATCCCGGCTCTGTTTCAAATCCCGCCTGCCCCTGCTGTCTCCAAAGCGCCACAAGCCCTTCTTACGGCCATCAACACCACCTGCAGCATCAGCAGCAGCAGCAGCCGGAGCAGAACCACCACCACTGGGAACATAGGTGGCAGCGCGGCCGTATGCGATGTTGTCGGGAATGGGGATGTTGAAGAGCGCGGGATCCTGGCTGACGAGCCCCATGTAGCGGCGCAGCCAGCGCAGGTTGAGTGCGGCGATGCTGCGGCCGTCCAGCAGCACGGCTCCGCTCTGCGGGTCGTAGAAGCGCTCCACCAGCACCACCACCGTCGACTTGCCAGCCCCGCTCTCCCCCACCAGTGCTACGATCTGAAGTGCAAGAGGGAAGAAAGGGAGGGTGGCAGGAGAAAAGAAGAGGAGAAGGGAGAGAGTGTGCCAGGAGGAGAAATGACGAACAGCGCCACATGACGTGGACATAACCAAGAGATGGACTTTGGTACATGGGGTCCGAGGGTGTGGGTGAACGGACTTGTTTGGGCAAAGCTCAGCACGTGCGCTCTCCATGAGCACAGAGTGCTGTGTTGCAGTTATTGCCCCACCCCTTGCCCGCCAGGATAGTGAGCGGCGTGAATTCTATGCAATGCCAGCTCAGCCAGGTGTTGCTGCAATGGGTACAAGTTGGTTATTGAGGATTCTCAAAAACCACCGTCAGATGTGGCTGCAACAGGTACGCTAGCACCACACCTTCAAACCGCACCTCCCCTCCCATGCCCTCCTTTTAAGCCGACTCACAAGAATACCCACACATACACCCACCCCCCTTGCCGGCCGGAATGCTGAGCGTGAAATCCTGCAGCACAATTATATGCGGCCGGGACGGGTAGGCAAACACCACTCCCTCAAGCCGCACCTCTCCCTCCACGCCCTCCTTCGGCCGCTCCCCCGGCGCCTCTGGGACGATGAGCGAGCGGCGGTCCAGCAGCTTGAAGATGGACTCCACTGCTGCCTGCGCTGCAGCCATGTTGGGGGCTAAGGAGGCCGTCTGAGCCACGCCCATGGCCGTGAAGACCACTGCGAAGAACGACTTGGGGGGGGGGGGGGTCCGGGGAGGGTGGGGGATAGGAGGGAGGGGGGAGAGGGGGGCGGGTGGGGACTGCGCCACTCCCATGGATAGAGACCTGGTTGCTCCTGTAGTGACAAGGGATGATAGGGTAAGGGTTGATAACCTTTGGAAGAAAACTAAGGAATATCTATGATGACGAAGTCCCCGAGTGAGCTAGGGTAGGAGGCAGCTCCATAAGAAGGGAATTAGTTTCATTGACGAGGTCAATGCAGAGAGGCAAAAGAGCAGCTGGGTACCTGGGAATTCACTTGAGGAGCACCTGAAACAGACCCTGGGCACACCTGAAATACGGACTGGAAGTCAGCCTAGCCGATCTTGACTAGCTGCCCCCCACACCAGAAGGAGAAGGCATACATGGCAAACAGACAGAACGCCCAAAGGCAAACCCCGCCCCGCTGACTTGTGAGTGAGGGAGAGGGGTGGGGAGAGAGGGGGGAGAGAGAGGGGGGGGAGGGAGGGGGGGAAGATACAGGGGGAAGTGGGGAGGAGAGACGGGTGATGAGTCACAGAGACACGGATCATAAGGATCATGAGGTGTGTAGCAGACACTGAGTGCCCTAGCCTACCTGAGCCTTGCACAGCCCCGCCCTGATGAGGGCGACAGTGCTATATGGAACAGCAGCATGACCACTCACTCTCTTTACCACCCACCCACTCGTGAACCGGCTCACCCTCCCATGCACCCACCCACCCACCCACCCACCTTCCCACCCTCCCACCCTACCACCCACCCCTCGTATGCCCATCTGGGCCTTGCACAGCCCCGTCATGAGGGATTCATGAGTCAGCAAACAAATTGGCTCAAAAATCACCTGCGCAGCCCCGCCGTGAGGGGCGTGCTTGCGGTGGCACGGTTCAGTTTTGAGACGACTCAAAACCAAGCTATTATCACACGTGAGCGGCGTCCCAGCGGTGCCATGACCCTTCCGTTCCCAGCCTTCCCAACCCCCAAACCCCTCACCCCTCCTTCTCCCTCGGCACCCTCCCACCCACCTGCGCCTTGCACAGCCCTGCGTTGACCGGCGTGGCAGCGGTGGCGCAGTGCAGCACCATGTCATGCCCCTTCATGCCCTACCCGCATTTTCACCCCTCCCGCCCACCTTCGCCTTGCGCAGTCCTGCCTTGAGGAGCGTGGCAGCGGTGGCCCGGCACAACAACATGACCCTCCCTTTCCCCGTCACTACCTCATCCTCCCCAACCCACAAATCTCCACCCCTCCTCCTCCCTTGGACCCCTCAACACACCTGCGCCTTGCACAGTCCTGCATGGACGGGCGTGGCAGCAGTGGCTTGGTACAGCGCCATGATGCGCCCCTCCGCTCCGAACGACGCCACCGTGAGCATCACCCCCATCGCGCTCGACGCTATGCGTGTTCCCGCCTCGTATGCTTGCTGGGAATGGGGACAGGAGACAGGGCAATGCGCGGGTTTTGAAAACGCATTCAAGGCTGTAAAACGCCACCATGCGCATCGCCCCCACCTTGTCCGACACTACGTGCGTTGTTGCCTCATACGCTTGCTGCGTGGGGGGACATGATGGGGACAGGCGTAGGGGGGACGGGAGGAGGAAAGGGGAGGAGAGAAGGTGAGGGGAAGGCTTTAGGGTTTACTATGAGCATGGATCCCACTGCGACAGATACAGTGCATATGGATGTCTCGTAGGCTTGTTGCCATGAGGGAGAGAAGGGGGGGGCAAGTGGGGGAAGTGGGGGGGGGGAGGGGAGGGTGGCGGGGGTGTTTGGAAGGTACACGAGGCGTCTGTCTCTTGAAAATTCACCATCCGTTTGGCTCTCACCACGCCTACCGCAGTGCCCATGGCCGCCCTGTGGGCTTGCTGCCCTAGGAGAGAGCCAAGAGAGTGCATGGGTGGGGCGCTGTAGTGGCGGGAGTAACGATGTGTGGGCGTTGAGATCCTCTGTGTGCAGTTCTTACTGGACTGCTAAAATGCGCACCATTACCTTGCCTCTTTCCCCATCCCCCCTCCCCCCCCCCACCTCCTCTTACCCCCCCCCCTCTTCCCCCACCTCTCCCACCCCCCACCATCCTCTGCTTCCTCCCCATCCCTACCCCCGTCGTCACCCCATGCACCTTGGCGTCAGCAGCATATCCCCAATGGACCTTGGCGACACCAGCACGTCCCTGCATGCTCTTCAGTTTGAAAGAGCAAGCCAGCTGCAGTGAACGATACCAGCCCCATCATCCAAATAACATCCCCACCTCCCCAAGAGAAGAACCCACCTTGGCAATCCGCGGCAACCCCTGCTGGCTCCTCATTGAAATAGTGACCCAGCAGTGACAAGTAGCAGCTGCCCAAGGACGATGAGGGAGGACGGGCACCACTACCCTTCCAGTCACTTCCCCCAAAACACATCCCCTCACTCCCCAACCCCCTGCAGCCCCCTCCTCCCTTCCCAGATCCCACCTTGGCTCTGCAGCCGGAAGAGCGAGCCAGCAGCGATGAGCGGCAGCTGCGCGGAAACGACGAAGCCTTTCAAACACCTCCCCCAACCTCTCCCCCTGCAACCGCCCCCACCTGCACCCCCACCCCCACCCTCCAGGACCCACCTTGGCATCGGCGGCAAACCACTGGAGGCTCTGCAGCTAGAAGAGCGAGCCTGCAATGATGAGCGGCAGATGCGCGAGGACGATAAGGGAGAGAAGCCAGGAGGAGAAGGCGATGATGAGCTATGCTATGAGCGTTGCTGCGTTCTGCACTGCCAAGGACAGGCGGTCGCCCACTATGGAGTGTACATGCGTGGCGTCTGAGGAGAGCCGAGAGCCTATGGCCCCGCTGGTTAGAAGGAAAAAGGGGGAAAGGAAAGGGAAAATGGGGGAGGGGGCAGGGAGAGCAACATGATGGGACACAAGGGTAGAGGAGAGATGGGGAGGAGAGAAGAGAGGGAGGGGCGAATATAGAGCGAGGGTGAGCAGGGAAACACGGGGGGCGTGGCTGCGTTTTGGATGGCTAAGGAGAGGTGGTCCCCAGTATGGATGAGTTGGTTGTTTATACTTCTATAAACCAGCACATGAGTGGCGATTGAAGAGAGTTGAGAACCGATGGCACCAGTGATATGTGGTGGGAGGTGGGGAAGAGAAGAGGGGAGAAGATGGGAGAGGAGGGTGGGGGGCAGGATACTAGAGGAGGTACAAACAGTTTGCTTTTATGACAAAAAGGAGTGTTGGGAAGAATTGGGAAGAGTGTTATGTGATGTGATCATATTCTATCACATTCAGTCTACCCCCCATCCTGCATCTCCATCATGCATGCATGTGTGTGCGAAACAACTTGTGTGTGGCATATTATGAAATTTGTGAATGTGTTCATTCTTCTTTCTCTTTTTGTCTTTGTCTTAGATGAAGGGTCATTGAGTAAATCTTCGCCAACAATGTTTCAGAGGACAAAACTCTCCCCGGAATAATGGATCTCCACAAATAGCTTCTTTTCCGGTTTACTTGATCCATTTGGACACCATTGTTGAGAATAGCCCTGATCCTGCGAAGGTTGCAGAAGTCTGCTGAAGCGGCATATCAACGAAGTCTGCGGACACGAGCCCTGCAGAAAGGCCCATCAACAAAGAGCAAATTTGTTGACAAGGCGAGTCTCTGCGAGACGTGGCAGAGGAGCAGTTTTCGTTGGTGGCGGAAAAGCGGTTCTGTCGGAGTGGCAGAATAGGAGCGCGTTTTTTGCATATGGCTTCTACATCGACGTATGCTTTTGTAGAAGCGGTCTCGGCAGAATCGAGAGTGTACAAGACCCTCTGCCGAATTGGAACTAGGGGCCACTCGCAGAAGAGTTGTCCTCTGCCGAAGTATCACGCAGAAGACATTTCTGCAGGCGACCCTTTCGGCAGAATCGACTCTCAGAAATGCATTCCAGCAGGACCTTGGGCAGAATGGCGCAAGGACCTGTTCGCGCAGAATTGCGTTTTGCCGAAGCTCGGCAGAAAGGCAATTCGGCTATCTCTTCTGTTGTCGACCCCCCCGGCAGAGACGAATTCGGCAGAAGCGCGGCAGAAAGTCGTCTCGGACTTCGCTTCTTCGAGCGACCCCTTCGACAGAAATACGGGGACTTAGTTTTTCTGATGAAGGTGACGTTCCGAAATCGCGAGAAATTTGCGATTTCGTAAGTGCACCAAAGCACCGATCTGGACCGAAACCTGCAACATTGAGAAATTGAACACGTGACGCACATTTCATAACTGCAGAAATGTGCTTAAAGCCGTTGACCCAAATTGCAGAAATTTCCTTTCAAGTTTATTAGTCTTGAAACCCCCGATTGGTAACCCAGTTTCCCGGAGCGAGAGCAAAAACGAAAGTTGCGCAACAAAACGACGCGAAACAGCCTGTAATCTTGCGCCACCCCAAGCTGATTATGTCCCTGCCCCCGCCACACCAGGCGTTTGAGTGGTAAGAAACTTGAACTTCCCCCCATACATTTTGGGACTTTTTGGAGTGCAAACCCAGCCCAGCGCCATTACGCCCTAGGCAGCGAATACACCATGCACTGCACATGCCAGTTTTTATTAGGGTGCGGTACAAATCGTTTCAAGTGAGGTACGCGACTTGAACTCGCAAAAAAAAAAAAAAAAAAAAAACAAAACAAACAAACAAACAAACAAAAAAAATAAATCTGATTGAGCCTATTTGATCGCGTTGGAAAATGTCTAAATGTCTATAACTGCATCAGCTGTTCGAATTTCAGTTTGAAGACATACTCCTTATATAAGGTGTACCACGCCCTGATATGCGCAAGTCGAGTTGCTTGGCAATTCCAAGCGAGTTGCGCAACTCGGCCAGGTTGCGCAACCCAGAGTCACGTGCCCTCCCTTCCCGCTGTTTCCAGTGTTCTGCGCTGTGCCATGCGCCGCTCTGACCAGGTATTCTTCCCCCACTCTCCCCCTGCGACTTGCACGCGCCCCCGCTTTCCTTTTCCCCACCCTCGATTTCCCTCAG